ACTACACCAACTACAGCAACTACACTAACTACAACAACTACTGCTACTACACCAACTACAGCTACTGCACTAACTACACCAACTACAGCAACTACACTAACTACAGCTACTACACCAACTACACTAACCACAGCAATTACATCAACATTCTCATAGTGGGCTTAGGGGTCACTTAATGTCTCTATATTCGTGACGGTTATCATGAACCCATTACCTCAGTTGACGACGGGAAAGCGCGCGGAAAGGACAAAACACGACTTCCGGTGCTCAATTTACCACTCTGCCATTGGTCAAGCCAGTTGTTTGATTTGCGCTCGCCGCCGTCAACTGACGTTTCCGTTCTGTTGCTAAATCAGCCTAGTTTCTGTGCTGACGCCCGACTTAACCTGCTTAAGTGACCTTTCTAAGGTCTTTAACTAGTTTAAACCGCTGATCTGCTGTCTTCCTTCCGTAAATGAGACTAAAAGTATATCGAAGTTACCTGTAAGACTGTGTACTTGGTCTTCAACTTGTTTGGTACGAGTCTCTAGATTTACAAACCTCTGATCTGCATCCTCTAAAACACAAAAGTATAAGACTTACAATTTTTAAATGATTCCACAAGTAAAGAAACACCAGCAAACCATTATATTTGTTGCAATGATGACGTCAGTAATAAGAAAATGGGCGGGAGAGGTTAAACAGGTCGGATTACCTTGAAAATTCTTCAGTCTTTCCACTGTCTGTTTCATGTCTTCAAGAGTTATGGCAGCGTTTTGCAGTTCTTGTTGTACCCTCACCCTTTCTTGCTCAAATTCTACAGACAAGTTGCTCACGTTATCTTGTAAAAATTTTACTTCTTGCTGGATTAGTTGAAGCAATGCTGGATCTACAGGAGAGTTCATGCACAACATAGTCCCTGCAAACAAAGCACAAAGATTTGTAAATTAGTGTCTTATAAATAAAGTAAGTTTATTAAAACTCGTTGCAGTAAAATTAATAGAGGATGTTAGCATCGACAACGAGTACGAGTTCTAGAACGAGATCAGCGATTTTGCGTACTCCGCATCCCGTCTGCGCATCTCCACGTTTTCAAGTCGTCCTGTCAAGTTGCACTACGACGAGTTCTCACCAAAAACTCGCTGAAGTGGGTACAACGACTGGGAAGAGCTGGTTTTCAAAGGTAAATTCCGATCGTTTAATGCAGTTTCTTTTCATTTCTAGCCTCTCTTTATCATCTTGAACATTCCTTATATTATGTTTTATGTAAAATACTGCTTTTGAAGTCGAGGAAAAGCAACCGAACGCGATATTTTCTACACAGAGTAAATTTGCATTGTTACCCGGGAAAGTTTCATGTCTCTCCACAGGCCTCTCAGGCTCACGAAATAACTCCAAAAATTGCCATTATTTGGTCGAAAATATCCCAAAAGTCGAAGATATCAATAAAGAATACTTACTTCTTTATCCAGTGTGGTTGTTGTGTTGAATTTGATGGGTTTTAGCGTGTTTTAAGACCGCGACTAACCATGTAACTGAGTAACAAGCAGTCTTGAACGTTTTTTAGAGTATTTTTTGTTTTCGAAATTGTTGTGGAAGCGCTACCTCTACTCAAATTTGGCGCCCAGTCATGCGGAATCCCATAATTTTATTTTCTATAAACTCGATTTCGGTGTCATCGCTAACATAGAAAGCTGAGAAAATGACTTCGAGTACGAGTACGGCTTGAAGTCGTTCTCGTACTCGTACTCGTTGTTGATGCTAGCATCCTCTAATACTGAGTTGGTGAGCTCAAAAAATTGCAAGTCTAGACTAATTACAAAATATACTATAAAAATACTACAAATTTACCAAGATAGTTACGAATATGATTATTAATAATAATATTACTTGTAAGAGTTTACCTAAAATATCTAAATGTAAAAAATGCTCTCTTGGTCCTACCAGTAATTGAGCCATTAAATAGAAGAAATTTCTCGGAGTTTTTTCTGAGCTTGTAATTACAAGTACCTGCAACACGCCTGGGTAACAATTTAAATAGAGGGTGGTCTCTAGATTTCATCTTTTCCATATATTTACAGCATAAGTCTTCTCTTCTGTCTTGCAGTGTTGGCAAGTTTGCTTGACCCAGGGCCTCCGTATAGGACTCCTCCGCGGGGAAAACTATCTTTAAGCAATAGACCACACTTTCTATGGGTTTACCGGCGTGATAACCCACTTGGGATGTTGGGAGAACACGAGAAAAGCTTGTAAATCACTCGCCTTCGGCTCGTGATTTACAAGCTTTCCTCGTGTTCTCCCAACATCCCAAGTGGGTTATCACGCCGGTAAACCCATAGAAAGTGTGGTCTATTGCTTAAATCGACCAAAGCCGACTAACGTCAGAAGTTCTGCGGAAAAAATTCTGAAGTTGAGTAGTCGACGTGACTAGTCGTACGTGACGATCCAAAAGAACGTCTGAAGGGGAGGCTAGAAGATGAGATGATTATGTGCAGTTGTATAAAAAATTTGTGTCAAACTGTGATTCCGCACAATTCCGCAAAGCATTATTATTTTCCTTGAATGCACCCGATTAAGGCTACTAAACGGAAAATTTGCCCCGTAGAGGTTTTGCCAGAAGCACTGGCGATTTTTGCAACCTCTACTTCCGCGGATGCGTCGGCATGATGATGATGATGGACAAAGGGAGCATTACATGCTATATCGATCTTCTTTTCTACAATGGAGGTCGAAATTCTTACGCTACTTGTTGCAACTCTTTTTCATATGGCTCTATCACTAAAAAAACAATCTTTAATCGGCTTTGGGTTCATCCCTTGATCCCCCACAACTCTCCCCAGCAATAATGAGCCTTAAAAACATTAGTTTGCACCTATCCTGCACGAGATTCAAGATTGTTCGAAGAAAGAGGGGCAGGTAACCTACTTTACAGTTATATAAAAAAATTACGTGAAAGCCCCAAAAACCTCAGGCTTGAGAGAGATTCCAGGTGGCTTGATGGACAAGCTGGTTAGAGCTTTGCACCGCTATAAGGGTCATGGGTTTGAATCCAAGCGTAAGTTGAGTACGTGATTGCGATAATCTTTTACGTGTTAAATCTCTCCTGCAGTTTAAATTTCAAAAATTGGCTTTTCGTCCGATTTAGCATCAGAGGAAAAGTATTTTGAAGATGTACTTAGTTACCCCACTTTCGTTTCAGTTAAAAGCCGAATATTGTTTAGAAATATATTTACCGTAGTATGCACTCAGCCACGCACGCATTCAAAAAACAATATCAGCTTTTTTTATTACGGTTTCTTACAATTAGTGGTGAGACGTCAGTCAAAGACATCTGCAGCATAAATGATAAATATATTTCGCAATCATAAATCAAACAATGGAGAAGTATTTGATAATTAAAAATGCTGTTTTAACATTTAAAGCTTATTTTCCCTATTTTTTTAGATGCTGGATCTTCACTCAGCAAAAGTCAGAATAACAAAATCATCAGCAGCTGGTCATTGATTCATTGCTGAAGAACGTAACATCACTTCAAGGACTTCAAAAGTACGATTTCTTCTAAGAAAAGTTCGCTCCACAACGCAGTAAATTCTAAACTCTACTGAAAAACCCAGGCAATGGAAGCCTCACTCTCCAAAACCCAGCTTACCAACTCCATTCTTGCTATCCTTGGAATCCTTGGAAACATGATGACCATTCTATTGTTTTTCCATGACAAAAAGCTGCTGAAAAAGTCCTACAACGCTTTCATTCTTTGCCTTGCCATAGCAGATATACTGACTTCCATCCTAGTAATCACAAGCCCCGGCTTTGGTCTTGGTGACCTTATTGCTCGACCAACCAATCCAGTTCTGGGTGAGATCTACTGTCGAGCGATTTGGAGCCGAGTGTTTGTCTTTCAACACGTTTTTTTCTCTGTCTACATCACACTGCTGTTGACAATAGAGCGTTGGGTTGCTGTCGTAAAGCCTGCTAAATATAACGTCGGCTTCAAGGGAAAGAGAGTTATTGGCTACATCTTCTTTTGCTGGATCTGGTCATTTGGTCTCACGGGAACGGGTATATTTGATGCGGTCTATGAACCAAGTTCATCGTCCAATGAAATCTGCAAATTCAAATTTATTTCATCAGGCTCTATCTTCCGCACATCCCTCTCTGTGTTCATTATTATCATGAAGATGTTCTTTCCATGCCTTTCCATGATTGGACTATACGTACACATGATCGTGAAGACAAACAACTCTCCAGTTGCGTCCGCAGAGAGCAAAGCTAAACTACGAGGAAAGATGACAAGAATGATTGGCATTATGACTTGTATTTTACTCATATGCTATTCTCCAAACCAAATTTTTCTAATCTTTGCAATTGCAGGAAAAGCAAAAATAGATTCTACACTCCACCATTTCACAGCAATCCTCGCCTTCACAACCATTTTTACTAACCCACTTATTTATGGACTAAGCAACGCTAATTACCGCAAGCGCTACAAGAAGGCTTTGTTCTCCATGTGTCCAAAACGACTCGGGGAAGGCGCCCATGTTGCTCTGACGGGACGAAGAGTTAGTCCTCCTCCATCAGAAGCACCAGCAACATGTCGATTGACAGTTTTCAGTAACTGATAGTAGTTTATTCCAAGCCAAGAACTGGTTCATGCTTAGCATGAGTATCTCGAGTTATGTATGTTATATATCAAACACGAGACGCAATGTTTCATCACCAGATGAAACATCAAGAAGCACAGCGGAGTATTTTGTCGAACTTCGAGGTTTTTCATCTGGTGATGAAACATTGTGTCGAATGCTTAATATTACTTCTCAAACAAAATGATTTTAGAAGGAGAAATTGAGGATGGGAAAAATAAGAATTTTTTCATCTGATTTCCAAACACTCATTAAACATTAATTTCCTTTGTATTTTTATGAATTATTAATGAGTTTGAGAAGTGCACAGGAAGTTTGGGGAGTTCAAGGGTTCCGGATGTGGAAGCTTGTTGCTCGAGGGGCAGTCGAGACAGCCTATGA